AGAAGGGGAAAAATAAGAACCAAGAGAGATTATGTAAAGGTGCATATCTCCAATGATGAATGTCATTATATTGTATATAATGTATCAATAAAATTAATTATAAAAAAGAATCATAGGATCAATGTAACACATTGAAAAATGGTTATAAGCAGGGTAAACACTAATCCAACTAAGTCCATAATTGCTTTAAATAAAATAATCTAAATAAGACAATTAGAGAAATTGATCTTCAGGGTGAAAAAATATTACATGCCCCAACTGTATGCTCTATTCATTTAAAAGAGCTTATTTTAAATATAAAGGCAGTTGTGTTAAAGGAAAGGAGAAAGATATGCATGTCAACAATAATCAAAACCAAATAGCAGTAGTAATATTAATTTCTGTCAAAACAGACTTCAGGAGGAAAATGGAAAATAATGAAGGATAAAGGGAAATTTATTATAATGCTAATGTTGTAAAATTTTAATGAAGACACAATACTCCTTAACATATATTTATTATACGAGGCTATCAAACATGTGAAGAAAACACTAATAGGACTCTAAAGGGAAGCCTAAAAAAAAAAAAAAAACTCTAAAAAGAAGTAGTAAAATCCCCTAGAATTTGGATTCTTCAGCTTGCCTCCTTTAGTAATTGCCATATTGAGCATACAGAAAAGAAGTACAGATATAGTTGATCTGAAGAATGCTATCCAAACAAGGTAGTCTAAGAGAATGTGATCCAACTTAGAAGTCAAAAATTATGGAGTAGAATGGGAATTCCAGAATCACAGGGAAGATGGTTTTCCCAGAAACATAGCTATTAAGCAGTCATAATTAGCAAAGATGATATTCAAAGACTCTAGAGAGTGACTAAATAATTTACCCAAAAAATTAGAAATATTAATTCAACAAATTTAATGGGCATTTGTTAAGAACCATGACAGACAATGGCATGTAAACTAGATATTGATTCAATCTCCTCTATGTTTGAAGGGATGCAGAATTCATTGTTCTCCCCAGCCTTCCTCAATATAGGGAGGATCTGAGCAAACAAGCTGTTGAAGATTGTGGTGCTCCATTTTCACATAGCTCTATTTCAAAAGAGCATCCATGGTGGTCTCAGTAGTCAAGTGACAGCTCCTGTTTCCCCAGCTACTTAGAGTGGCTTACTCCTGTAGATTCAGGGGTAGATATCCTCCCAATCTGAACTAAGAACAATGCATTCTACACCGTAGGAGGAGCTGGAAAGCACTACCAGTTTTAAATACTGCCTCACAGCTCCTTCCCCAAAGGGAAGATCTGAGTATGACACTCGGTGAATAACCAAGTAGAGCTCCTGCTCCAGAGCTAAGAGCTTCTACCTAAGGGAAGATCAAAGAGTTTTCAAAACTTGCAACTCTGTACCCTGATTAAGGGGATTGACTTTAATGGGATCAGGGTATGAGCAATTTGCTTGAAGTTTTCAACAAATAACTGTGAGTCATGAAGGAACTAAAAAGTTTGACCCGTATATGAAGGAGAAATCAGACAACAGAAATTGCTTTTGAGAGTGTAAACTCAGCAAACTTCAAAACATAGCCATGTTAAAACAAAACAGTGTATGATAGCGACCTTTCATCAAATAGAAAAAAAAATAAATTAAAATTATTTTTAAAATAAAACTAATTAACCCAGTAAAAATAGAGAAAAAGATTCTTTCTCCAAAGGAGACATGTACGTGTCCAATATTTATATGAAATGATGCTGAATGCATGAATATTAGTAACAACCTGATAATAATCAAAAGGAGAAGCAACATCGACATCTAACAATTGGTAAATGGATAAATAAAAGGTAATACATAAATGCAATGGAATATTATTCAATGATAAAAAGACATGAAATAAAGATGCATATTACAGCACAGTAGAGTCATGGAAGCATTACACTAAATGAAAGATGTCCCTTAACAAGACCACATAATGTTCAGAATAAGCCTATTGTCTTAGTCACTTTTTCATTATGGAGACACAATACCTGACATACACAAATAAAAGGATCTGATTCATGCATTTCATTCTAATCATTTCTTCCTTCAGGATACCAAGATCTCTCTTTGTATTAAATTCGGTCTTCTTCACTTAGGCACAGCAGTTATGTTTCCTGTCATCATTACTGTCTTGATACCCACTACTCAGAGATGTATTACTAGAAGTTTTTTTGGGGGGGGGGTTGTTGTTTGGTTTTTTTTGGTACCAGGGATCAAACTTGGGTCCTTGAGCTTGCACAGCAGGCAGCAAAACCACTGAGCTAAATCCCCGGCCAGATGTACTATTTTAATGCTAGAGTATTGTATGAAAGTATCTCTCAGATTATACTAGCTAGCAATTTCTTGTAAGCATAATTTGCAGTGATGCTTAAAACATCTCAAGAAATTGTACATCAAACTTGGTATGATATAGGTTTGTTAAAGGTAAATATAGCCTCTTCCTTAATCTGAAATTCTTGAATTGGTTTGGGCTATACAGAATAGTCACGTGATCTTCTGAACTATCAAGTGACAGGTACACTTCGGGAAACTGCTTTTATTATACTTCACTTCATAACTTGGCAAGTAACTGAGTATTCTTATGCACATGTGTTTTATACCAATAATTATACATAATATTTAAAGAACAAAGAATCTTGAAAGCTTAAGTTTAATGTATTACCGATGCTCCATCAATAGACAATTAAAACAAGAAGAAAAATTTAAATTTTTCCCAAACAGTGTTCGGAACAAACAGAAGAAAATTAACAAAATGACAAAAGTAAGTCTTTATCTATCAATGCTAGCTCTGACTGTCAGAGGACTAAATTCTACTAATTAAAATACAGAGACTATCTGAATGCATTAAAAGCAAACTTCAATGATGTGCTTTCTAAAAGTAACTCATTAGTAGAAAAAAATAAAGATTGAGACAGTGAGGCTAAAAAATAAAGATTGAAAATCAGATTAGATGAACATATAAGATTTCATGACTGATATCACAGAAATACAAAAAATGATTAACCATTATTATTTATTGACACATAGGAAAGCCTAAAAATGGATAGATTTCTCAATACTTATCACCTACTAAAATTTAGCCATGAGGATAGAAAAAACCTGAATGAGCAAATAACAAGTTATGAGATTGAATTAGTAGCAAAGTCTTTGATAAATAAAAGCCCAAGACCAGATGGCTTCATTATTAAGTTTTATCAGGCCTTTAAAGAAAAAGAAAAAGAAATCCCAATTCTTCACAAGCATTTCTAATGAACTTAAGGGGAGGGAACCCTTCCAAACTCATTCTATGAAGGTAGTATTATATTAATGCCAAAACTAGACAAAGACACCAAAAAACCTATAGAACAATATCCCTAAAAAATGTAGTTGAAATTTTTTCAGCAAAGTACTATCAAATTGAGTTCTAGAGATCCCAGAAGCTCCTCTCAGTACTGCAACTTTCCCTTTTAGCCTGAAAACTATGTCAAGATTTTTAGAGAAATGGATGAATGGATAGATAGGATAGTTAGACAGATAGATAGGTAGAGAGACAGGCAGATTTATTTGACGTAATACAAAAACCATTGTTAGAATTGGAGTTCAGGCAATATAAAACTGAGAATGTTTAGGTTCAGGAGTTGTGAATAACAAACCGTAGCAACTAGAATTTCTTCCTTGCACTATGTAGGTTATCCTGAAAGAAATTTTAAATAAACACTGACCTTGCTCCGATGAAACCTCCTCTTTGTTAGAAACATAAGAAGAACATTCATATAATAGAGAATAACATTCATTAGAATAAAGAGCTCCTACGTGGAGAATATAAACCACTTAGGGTATGAAAGCACTCATGAGATTGCATCTTAATAAATATTTTGGCAATATAAGCCTTAAGACTTGCTCAATAATCCATTAAACTGATTCATGTGCCATGGTTTCATAAGCCAATTTCTCATTCAGGGTACATATCTTGGCTTCTTCACATCAGGGTTTCTCAGCTTCATCACTACTGACATTTAGGACTAGATAAGCTTTGGTTATGTGAGAATGTCCTGTGCGTGGTAGAAAGTTTAGCACCCTTGACCTTTACTCACAAGATGCCAACAGCGCAGCCCCCACTATTTCTACGAGAAAATTTTCTCCAGCAATCGCTCAGTGTTTCATTGGGGGGGAAATCACTCTTGCTGAGAAAGCTCTGCTCCATTAAAATGCATTTTCATTGTTTTCTTGACTACAAAGGTAATAAGCATTTATTTAAAAATAGACAGCTATAATGTATAATGTAATGTGACAGGATGTATGAAAGAGATGTAACATGCTATAAAAATTCAGAAATAAAACATTATAGTTGAAGACATCAGAATAAACTTGGTGGAAGATGCAGCCTTTATGGTTCTCTGTAAAAGAAGGACAGAATTCTGATTCACCACACAAAGCATAGAAAAAAAAAGACATTCCAAAGACAGAAATGACCTAACATGGAAGAAGCACAGTATGTTGTGAGATTGAAAGGGAGTGAAATGACCTGGAAATCTAGATTAATGTCTTTTAGATGAGGAAAGAGGAAGTAGAAAAGCAGAGGAAGAAGGAGGAAAGAAAAGAATCATAAAGAAATGAGAACCTATTCTTATCAGGTACTGTGCTCTTAAATTTTACTCATATCTCCAGGTTAACAATTATAAGACCAAGACATATTGTCACCCAGCTACTAAATAGCAGAAATGGTTATACAGCTACTAAATAGCTAAGATAAAATGAAATCTGAGGGTTTACCCTGTTGCATTTAGACTATGCTATGCTACCTCTTAAATACCATATATACTATTAGTTACATTGAATTCAAATAAAACTAAAAGTCCTCTTACTTTTGCCATTTTTCTCAACTGAATCTACCAGTCTCAGAGAACTCTGAACATCCAATTGATTGTCCCCACCATGATGTAATACATTTTTACATACACATTTGCCTTTTTTCCTCAACCTATTCCAACAATATGGTGAGGTTCTGGACAGTTATAATATCTTCATCAACTCTTTGGCTTCAGTGTCTGGCAAGTGCCTCCAAAATATCCACTAATTAGATAAAACTGAAGATAGCATTTATACCTTCTCCCAAATTGTTGTCCATCTGCTTCTCATAAGATTATAAAAACTAAGGAAATGCCTTTATGTATTTCTTGGCATCATGTATGATCTTGGTGGATCCTGACTTGTTAGAGACCCACAAATGCACACACACACACACACAAAAAAAAAAAAACATTAATAGCATGTTTCATGTGGTGTAAGGCTATTAAGTTTGCTTTAAATGTTGGGCTTAAAATTGGATTGATTTTTGTACTAATAGTGTAATTTCCAGGTATTTGTTTTCTTAACAAACAGTAGTTGAAATGACTGCTATTCAGCAGTAAGTTTAAAGCTAATTAGAGGAGTGTCTCACTAATGCACATTAATGAGTGGAGAGCTATTACTGATCAGAGTGTGAAAGTTCCAAGGATAGCATCATAAAATGCAGTTTGCTTAGTTCTGTAAATATATGTTGTTTACTTTATTTACAACAGCCCATAGAGTACTCAAGTGCATAATACACTGCTATATTAGGTGAAATAAAATCTTATTAACCAAAGTCCTCTATCTGCTATTAGACTTTTATTAAGGACTGAGATAAAACAACTCTTTTTGGGGTAGGAATTACAGTGTGTGCTGATGATTGCTGAAGTGAATGAGGATGAGACACGAGAAGAGACAGCCGTGGTTTCAAGGAAGGCCTGGGTGATCACTGCCCATTGTGCTTTAACCTTGCCTTTGCCATCCCCAGAGGTACTTCAGGTCACTTCACATAAGTGGATAACAGAACAGCCAAATGTCATGTAGAGAGTGTCACAGTGTGCAAAGATACAAAAGCCATTTTTGCACAATGGGTGCCTGAATATAGGTTTCATTTTTTGGACAGAAAGCAGCCTCAGAACCAGAGAGCCACGTATAACATTCCACAGTCAGGGCTAAGATTAAAAGACAGACATGGGGTCCCCTGCCTCTGCGGGGCTGGCAATGGCATAGACAGGCCAAGCAAGTCATGGTGGTGGACAGATCAGGCAAATGCTGGCATGACTGTCGATGTAAAGAAGATCTGAAAACTGGAGAAGGAGAGGAAAAAGCATATACTCCATATCTGTGGCCATGGAATGACCAAACACACACACACAGAAAAGATGAAATTCCAGTGGAGTAGTTATTTTACCAGAACAATTGATTTTCTTTGTTACTGGGAGTGGACTGATTAAATAAATTAGATACTTTAGTTTTGAAAAGACATAAAAATGTTTTCAAATTTCTACACAAAACTCAATCAGAAACTTAAGGTGGACATACAATTAGAATATTGGCTCGACATATAATATACATATGTGAGTATTTCTTACATATATCAAAAACCAGCTGAATTGCTGAAAATCTAGCCTATCTAACAATGCATCCACAACCCTTCCCAGAAAACAGTGGCCTAGATGGCCAAGCTATGCACTGAATCACAAACTATGAAGGTGAGGCATCCTGAGATTAAGAGTTGATTTTTGATGCCATAGAAGTAGAGCATAGTGATTATCTTAGATAGGACAGGAGGAGGAGAGGGTAGAAAGAAGATAATATTAAAAAGAGTTTGCGTGGATACAAGAAATAACTTATAACATACTACAGCATTTTTATATATTATATATTTATAAGTGTATCATTTTAAAGATGCTAAATTTAAGACAGTTGGTAGAGAGGATTTTGAGTGTTCCCAAGACAAAGAAATGGTAAGTGTTTGAGGCAAAAGATATGCTAATTGTCCTGATCTAATCATCTAATCATTACATATTTTGTGTGTGTAATTTAGCAAGTTACCAAGATCCTGTAACCTTCAGATTCCTCATCACATATGTGGAAAAACAATATGGATAACTAGGTGTTATAAGAATTAAGTAAGATAGTAGATACCAAGAAGACTGTCTTCTATATACATGATAGTTAATAAATCATATTCAATAATAGTATATTAACAAAGCATTAACTAAAACTTATTTACTTATTTCCAAGTCTCTCTCCTGTACACAGGCAGACCTCCTGAGAGACATTGGCCCAGGATTTCTCAATGAACCCCACTCAGGAAAGGATGTTGTAATGCTCCTTCTAGGACTCTTTAAGGGTTAAATCTGTAACTGAGACCATCTGGAAGCACAAGTGGCCAGCATTTGGGCTGCAACTCAAGCCTTAGTTTGTAAGTTAAAAACTAAAATTCTAAATTCCAAGTTGTTTGCATGTCAGGTCAGTCATAACTCAAGGGTCCACTGTGCTTTGAAATGAATAAATTGTGAGAAATATGCTGAATAAAGAGGTTAATGCTAGAGTGAACAATCTTCAGACTGGCTGAAAAATACATAAAGTTAAAAATAATACTTAGATAACTCAGAACTTGGTAGACCAAAGAAATTATTACTGATTTTATTCTTTTTTCAATGGGAACAATTGAGAACATTTCACCTGGAAAAGGATAATAAGTGGGAACTTTCCTAATCTTTATAGTCTGGCTATGGAGTGGAGAGTAGATTGGAAAGGAGGAGAGAGCGTGTTTCTAATCTGTCAGAGCCAACGTAGTAATCCTAAGATTGTTTTCCAGTAGAACAGGCGGCAAAGGGGAGGTACATAGTCCCAGGTAGATGTATTTTGCTGCCAGAGTTAACAGGAACTGCTCAAATGAGGCATGTGGAGTAGATAAAGACAAGAATCAATGCTGACAGCCAAACCTTCTGCTCTGTGTGCTATCAGTCTGGATATTTTCTTCCCAAATCTCTGGTGTAGTCTCCACATTGCCCATGACAACTTTCTTATTCCTTTTTCCAATTGTCAAATGTACTTTAGGGATTATGGATCCTACCTTCTTCCCTTAGCAATCTGCTTATACATTCAATCTAGTTAATTATATTTACAGTAAAAACACTTAAGGATTTCCAAGACATTCTTTCCATTTTAGAATTAGAGTTCCAAGAGTTAAATGGGAGAGACTATTTACATTTAATATACTTTTCTTTGTAACTTTTCTACTGATTGAACTTATTTTTTATTTCTTTTTTTTCTGATGCTTTTTTCTGCCTTCTCTGGTTTTAATTAAGCATTTTATGTGATTACATTTCATCTTCTATATTAACATAACAATCATACATCTTAAATTTTTAGTGTTTGCCCTGCAGTTTGTAATATAACTAGTCAAAATTCAGTGTCAACTAATACTGTATCACTTCTCTCTAGGACTCTCCACAAGAATTCGATCAGAGCAGCAGTGTGAAGGACTTAGCCGAGTGTCTTGAACTCAGAAAGCATTTGTGTAGCATTAGCTCTTACTATCATTATTGATGAAATAATTGATTTTTTATCTGTCAGTTCTTCTAGATTTTGAACTCTTTATTTGCATAATATTTGTCCAACAGAAAATACTCTGTATATGTTTGTGGAACAAATATTGCCTGAAGGTATGCATTTTAAATATTTTCCCTTTTCTTTTCCTGGAACTGCTTCTCATAACATGGCAGAAATAAATTTCCTAATGTTTGGTTTACTTCCGAGATCAGAATTCACTGCAGTATCACCATGACTTGCTCCCTTACTGAACTCTTCACCACCTCAGACCTTGAAAGAAACTGCATGGCATCCATCACCCTAGAATCATGCCCTCTGTTTATTCTACTGCACGAAAGAAATCAAAACTGCAGAAGTATATTTTTCAGCCAACACATTTTTCAAATGTCAAAACTCTTATTTTATTGAACTTCTAGCTTTATGCTCAATCAGAAATCACAATTTACTCT